CAACGTTGTTATAGGGAGGCTTTAAATGACTATAAGCAAAACAAGTATTTTCAGCAGTTCTAGTTATTGAGGGAACCAAAGTACACAGTAACATATTTTTAATAACAAAAAAATACGTTCTAAGTTCATCAACGTGTTTCGAAACCAAAACTGAAACTTAAATGAATATTACTGGGTTGCAGTTAATTTCTCATGAAATGTTACAACTTGAGAGGAATATAATCACTCGTATCTTCAAGGTTTTTTAATTTTTCATCTCTGATTGGAAGAAGGTTGTGATACATTATAGGTAATTTTTCAGATGATATGATATCAGTGGCAAAAGTCATTGTTTCTCTTCTTTTACGATTGCTTATGGGAAATGAATTCCAGGGCTGCATAATATTATCAGATTTTCTCATTCTCAAACTAGCTGGAGAATCAGCGGTAAGTTGTGTAATTTTACATTTGGGGTATTTCCATATACAATATTCCAAAGCTGTTAAATTCTCAAAGAAGGCTTGGTGCATCCAGACATCTTTAAAAGGATTTTTAACTTTGGCTTTCGCAATGACATCGATCCACTGGAATGGTTCATAAACCATAGATATTCTTTTTTGTTTACGTACATACAACGTTGTTACACGGAAGACTGAAATGGCGCGCTTTACAAATTCGCGTCACAGTGATTGATGCGAGTAAACAGGTGGGTCTATGTTGTCAACGGGTCCCAATAGGCACATACTACGTTGTTTGACGGAAATCTTATTTTATAAAAAAATGTTATATACAACGTTATTCCGGCCGACCCTTCAATTAATGAAGCAGTATGGTTTAAATCCAGAACAAATGCGACGAAACGGGCCTAAACTATAAAATGCTACCGGTCGAAAAATTTAGCTTCAAAACAAGAATCTGCAGCTCCTGGTTACAAACGCAGTAAAGAACGTGTGGCTATCCTTGCTTGTAGCAATGCTTCCGGTACACACAAACTTCCTTTGTTGTTAATGGGAAAATCAGCTAAACCAAGAGCATTTAAACACGTCCGTCCCAACGATCTTCTAGTGTGGTATAAAAATAAAAAAAAATGCCTGGATGGATGCCGCTCTATTTAAGAACTGGTTTTACAATCATTTTGTTTCCAAGACAGAACGATATTTGAATGAACGCGGATATCCGAGAAAATGTATTTTGCTATTAGACAATGCTGCGATCCCTCAAGTGAGGAGCAACTTAAAAGTGAAGAAATACGAGTGATGTTTCTGCCTCCTAATGTAACGTCACTGCTGCAGCCAATGGATCAAGGAGTTTTAGAAAATTTAAAACAAAATTACAGACATTTGTTATTAGAGCAAATTTTAGATCAAGTTGATTATGGTTGTAATCCCGTTCATTGTTTTAAAGAGATTAACCTCAAGAATGTGGCATATTGGATAGCAGAAGCCAAGATAGCCAAGTAAATTAAATTCTACTTTACAAAAATCGTGGTCGACAATCATTAAGCAAGAAATGGAACCTTGCGCAGAGTATGAGAATAACGACGAAAATTTACATGAGCTCGTCGTAAAAATAGCAGGGTGTGAAAATCTTATCCAAGCAGATTTTGGTGAGTGGATTAATTGTGATGGATTGGTGGGGGAATTAACTGCTACAGAATTAATAAAAACTGTTTCTAACAATGGCGATGAGACACTTTGAAGTGATGCTAGTGACACAATGAGACAGAAATATCTGCCAAAATATCGCATTCTGAGGGATTAGAAGCTATACAAAAGGCGTTGACTTACGTCGAACAACAAGAAAATGCGACAGCAGCTAATGTGCTACTTATCAAACGTTGGAGGGATATTGATGCCAAAAATAGGAACGTGTACAGTTAAAAATTACTTCCTTTGTTACTAAGTACTCGTAAATATGTATGTTTGTATCCACATGTTTATATTTCACGCAACTTTATATACGTAGTCGTGCCATAAGTTCTGTCCCATGATAATCTCATGATAAAAATGAAACAAGATAAGATATATTTATATGAAAGATATTATTTATTCGACAACATTCATTTTTAGAATTCATAATCAAACAGTTTTATTCAAAATGTCCCCCCTTGGCCTTCACACACTGCTTCAATCTCGCGGGCCACTCATCTATCACTGCACGCACAGCTTCCAAAGGAATAGCTGCCGCTGATCGGATCAAATCCGCTTTCAGGGACTCGATATTACGGTGGGCTTTGGAGCAGGCCAACTGCTCTAGCAGGTCCCACAACTTGTAGTCTAAAGGATTGAGGTCCGGACTCCCTGAGGGCCAATCTTCTGCAGCAATGAACTCTGGCACATTGCTTTCCAGCCAGCGCTGCGTACTCTTAGCCTTGTGAGCGGGGGCGGAATCCTGCTGGTAGACCCAGTGTTGGTTGGCAAACAATGTACCACTTAAAGGCTTGACGATAGGATCCAGTATGTCGCTCTGATAGTTTGCCGCTTTTGTTTTCACGCCCTGTTTACAGAAATGGAGCTGAGTGACCCCTTCGTAGGACACCCCCCACCAAACCATGACTGACGCAGGGTGGTGGCCTCTCTCAACTCTCGGAATGATCTCCGAAGCTTCCTGTGAACTCCTTGCATACACTTTGTCATTTTGTCGGTTGAATTTTTCTTCTATGGTGAAGATTTTCTCATCCGTGAACAAAATCTTTCGGAATCCCCCAGCTGCGTACCTCTCCAAGAGCTTCTTGGATCTTGTCGCCCTGATGTGTCGCAAGGTGGCCGTAAGTCGCTGGCCCGTACGTCTCCGGTAAGCCCCTAGCCCTAGGTCTTGTTTAATGATGCGCGACATCGTCCGGACAGGAATCTTCATTTCCCTGGATAGGATCTTCTGCTTCCGGAGTGGATTCCTTTGAATCCTGGCTTTTACGGCTTTGATGGCTGCTGGAGTCCTTACTTGACGAGGTCTTCCGCTTCTTGGCCTGTCATCAACAGAGGACGTCTCATTGTACCGCTGAATGGTCCTAGACACAAATTTACGCGATATTTGAAGGCCGCGTAAGAGTTCAAAAATCTGACTAGCACTGTGATTACACTTATGTAAAGCTATCACTGCAATACGGTTCTCTGCCTTGCCCCACTCCATCGTTATGCTTCGAGAGATCAATACAAACTGAGGTATATGTAATTACCCGAAAAGCGCTTAATCAACTGACACCACAATGTAAACAATCGGACAAGTATTAACAGGTCTACACTTGTTTGAAAACGAGGGACAGAACTTATGGCATGACTACGTAGGTATATACTCACTTAACACACGCATTTACTTTTTTCAATAAAAGCATTATGAGTCTAAATATTTATTTCCGTTTTATCCGAAATTTCTATTATCCGAAAGCACTTGGGACCACATTATTTCAGATAATCGGGGTTCTACTGTATATGGTTTAGATTTGATGTGATGTAGCATCTCCTTCAGAGACGGGACTTTTTTAGGCCGTTTATAGCTGCTATGGCCTAAGCTGTACGTTTTATATTATAGTTGTAAGGAAACACTGCAGTTCATAGTGATATTTAGTTTATTGAATGTTACATATTCAAATTTACTGAAATTCAAAATTGTCATATATGAAAAAAGAAAATCCCTCGCTGGTGAAGAATTTTATAACTAACTGATGAGAAAATAGGCTACACACAATCTATTTAAAGTACAGCGTGGTGCAACTTACAGTACCCTAGTGTGAAATTGAGTAATGAAATTTAATACTAGACTAAACCCGCGGCTTTGCCCGTGTGGAGGTAATTTAGACGTTCAATCGTTTCGCATGACTGCAAAGGAGATTGGTTTCGGAAAAAGAAATGCAATATTCAAAGTAAAGCAATATTTACTTTGGCAATGAACATTTTTTATCCAACATTTTAATTCAACAATAAATTAATTTCAGTGTTTCGCTTTTTTATATCCTTGACAAAAAGTAAGGAGTTCACTTGAAAATTTATCTGATGTATCAGGTTGATTGGCAAGCATATGCCCAACTTAAAATTGTCGGCAACTTGCATTTCAGGAATTAAAAATGGATATTTCATGTTGGTTACGGTTATACTCAACGTTATGGGCATACTTGAACAGAAAGTTATTTGTTCTTGTGTCATTAAGTAGGGCTTTCCATTTAAGAAGACTATCCTGACCTTCAAATAAGGTTGAAGGTCATAGTCAACATCACGTTCAAGGCCACCCTTAGATGATCTTTTTAAACATTACAGCTTTATTACACGTTTCTTGATGAAATATTTTGTAACTAAAAAGTCAAAAGCCTCATCGAATTTTCTTTAGATTTTGTATAGTATCTGTAACGACCATAGGTTTTGCTGGTTACCTCACCTAAATTTTGCGTAATATCTTTATTTTTATAAGTTTAATAGCATCCATTACGGACCACCATATTGATAATTACATTTGACTAGAGGTCAAAAGCATTTCAGATTGAAAATTCATATACTGAATTCTGGCAGCAGCAAATTCGGTAGTAGTCCGTTCCATGTAAGCCCATTTTTGAACACCTCTTTTTGAATATAACTTCCAAAAATTTAGCTCTATTCGCATTTGAATAACTTTTTGAATTGAATAGAAAAATATAAGCGCAACGTGTGGGATCTTTGGATGTTGCTATCATAAATAGTGAATCTTTTGATATTCATTAACCTTTCAGAACTGTTTTCATAAAATATTGATTTCCATTTAAAACTTTAGCGTCCGTGGCGCTACGAAGCAATATGAGGTTTGCCTCAGTCACCTGAAAATATAGGGTATTTTGAATATCACTAAATGATTAGATGTTAAATGTTGTCATGTTATGATGTGTTGAAGTATCGTGAAATATTTATGTTAGAAGGTTAAATGGCAATCATTACCATTTCAGATATTGTAAATGAACTGCGCAACATGAGCCTAACATTTGAAAAATGCTGACTATCGCTAATATGTTGATGTTGCCTTTGGATTCATGTAGAAACATACAGGACAAGAATCAAGAGTCTCTGATAAATAATTTATATTACAAATTGTACCCTAACAATGAATGATCACAGCAGCCATTTTTCATTTTTCTATCATTAGACTTGAGTACAGAGAACAATAAAGTGGTTTTACCAACGATGACACGAGTTTCTTTTTTATGAGATTTCAAACCTTTCCGGTGATCTTCTACTGCTTTTTTTACTTTACAGTTCTTTAAAGGTATCTCAAAGACATCCTCCAAACGTGGTTTTAGTACGCCTCTTCGTATTTCAACATCTACCTTTCTCCTCGTTTTTATCAGTTGCGTTTTCATTGGAACAAAGTTTATTTCGTCTTTGGTTTCTAGAAAAGAATATGCTATTAAACAGATTGTGAACTTCCAAGGAGTATGTTAACGGCTGATATATGAAAAAATGATTATTATACACAAGAAAATAACGCAAAATTCTAGTATCTGATAACATAATGAAATACGTTTTGGCACTTACAAACCACGCTGATATTTTTTATCGAATGGAAATATTGAGCCTTGCATTGCCAGTAGGACAGTACGAGAATTAACTTCAAGAATGTATGGTTCCTCGGGTCAGTAACTTTCTCAAAACAGTAAAATCTCTTAAACAATAAAATGGTTTGAGAGCATGCATAGACTTTAGGTTTGGAGTTGTCCATGAGTTGATGAAAGATGTCATCAACATGTCTTCATACAGCCGTTCATTTCGGCTGGTCCTAGTTCAGATCACCGAAGTCTTGATCTGGCACGAACACATCTCGTCAATAGGGCTAAGAAGTACTTTTCGCCACCTAATTTCCTTGCTATGTACAAGGCCCAGATAAAACCTAGCTCCAATTGCTGCTCACATGTTCAGAGGAGGGTTGTCCGACTGATCTATGACTTTTCTCTAAGAGACAGTCTCGGGACCCTTTCGCACGCCGTCGGCGGTCTAGCTCCCAGGGCTCTCCTCCATGGTGCCGCCGCACGAGATGCCTGCTAGACAGAACAGCCTGACTTCGTCCTCCCATCCTAATCGTGTCGAACTACGAAAGCTAACTTTTTTATTTTATATATGTATTCGCTTAATTTAAATATAAACTACGAAGATCGATCGCTACCTGAATTTTGATATAATTATCAGACTTACCAACAACACCTTTTCGACGGAATGGTTTCCACAGTACCATTATTTCATCTCCCAGAGATAGTCCTTTTGAGATTGAATAAACGAAACGAGTTTGAATATGCGTATCATTTAGATTGGCTCTACATATTTGTCCATATATGCCCTACAACAGAAAAAAATATTTTATTTTAATGAATATACTCGGTTATCCTCACAAGGTATTTTTAACCATCAGTGACCGTCAAATGCAGTCGTCGAAACAAGATATGATGTTGCCTCATTACATACTGAACTGATTTGGTATGCTGTAAATGACAGTTACGGACTATTCATAATTCATTGTTAGAAAGAACGTAAACATGAAAATCCAAAAAAATTATACTCAATGGACTTATTAATTAATATAATTTCTCCTAACAAATTTAAAGGTGCCGCTATATTAGAGGAGCATAATATAAATCATTAAAAAGATAAATCAGGTATAATATTCAGTTAGTGATATACAGAGAGTAAATAAATAGATCGATGCTGACCACCCAGCCAAATGATAAAGAGGAACAAGAGTAAAGCCACCTCCCCCCCTAAAATTGACATGATGCATATAGCACATAAATATGAAAATAAACAATACTGGTACATTTTTGAAATGACTGAAGTACCCGCCGTCGAGTAGTACGTGCAAAAACCACGCAAGTCCGAACTTCCGGGGAATTCGGTATGTATGATCTAGAATCAGTATAAAAACTGTACAGATTCGACCAGTTTTGTTCTTACAAAATTGCTATGTTAATTAAAAAGACGTTTTTTTAGCCAAATGATTAAGCTATCCAAAAATATCGCTGGGTCATTATTATGGCAACTTTATGAACACGATCATGAGGCTTCAAATGATTATAATGCTGTCAAGATTATGTCGACATTTACACGGAGTCGTTCAGAAGTTAAGATTAACTTTTTGCAATGCATGCCCGTTTCTTCTTCGTAGGGGAGCTTCACAGAACATTTTTTATAGAATCTTGCAACTTTTTTGTATTGTGCATGCATGCGCGACATTAGAGATTTTTATCATATCGCATATATTCACGCTAACGTTGATATTTGTCATAATAAAGTCGATGGATTTTAGTTGTGTGTGTCAACATTAATGTTTATACCCTATTTCACGAGTATCATCACGCTTTGATGTCTACCGAGTTGAACAGCTGACCAGCAAGTGACATTTCTGTGTAAGTCTACGACGTTGGCAAGAATAAACCGGGTGTAAATCTAGTAAAACTTGTTTGTAACGTTTTGGTTAGCAAATGTACTTTTCTAAATAAAAGAGCTGTTAGCAAGTTCAAAATGAATCTGTAACGTACAAAAAAAAAACAAAATGCGGCTCTGACGTTGACGGATCCGTCAGAATTATGTGTCCTGTGCCGATATGGGGAATTTTAAGATATTACTAGATAATCACCTGGCATACTACAGTGATGTATACTCGTGAAATATGGTATCCATATGTAGTATGCGAGCGACTGCCAAAACTCTATTATGTATTTGAATAATGCTGATAATAAATAGGATTAACGTAATAAAAAGCACTTTTACTAGTGATCACATAATTTTCCTATCGTATGAATAATAATAAATATCAGTAACGGATGGAACTTCGCAGAGCAAATCAATTTGTAGTAAAAATCCTGAGTGGCTCGACTTCTTTTAGAGAACAGGTTAAATGAATAATTGAATTTCAATTAACGTGGTTTTCGAGAATTTTCTATTTGAATCATATAACATCACCTTGGTGATATATATGATATCTGGATCATCACATCCTCTAATATTTTCTAAAAATCTGTCCAAATTCGGTAGAAATATGCTTTGTGCAGCTTCAACGCCTAAGAAGTAGATTAAAGTCAGCAACGAGAGTGTGTGCTCATACAATTTGTCTAGCTTCTGAATGATTTTGTTTATAGCCATTTTCCTTAGCGGTTCTCGCAAACATAATGTAGCTAGTACAGAACAAAGTGGTTTTAGCACAGCTTTGTTTGTTGATGAGGCTAGTCTCTGTAGGATCAGTCTGAGTAGCAAATTAAGTTGCTTCAATGATACTTGGCTACTACTCAAGGGACTATTTTCTAGAGTTTCTATCAGATATAGTGCTCTCAAAGTTACAAAGGGTATGCTATCTTTCATTAACATAAAGTACCCAAAACGATAGAACCAGTCTGTTATAGGCCCAACTCTGGGGTTTTCGCTTATATCTCTCAAAGTAAGCTTCCAAAGCTTTCCATTATTGCTTAGTAGAGCATCACATGCAGTCTGAAAATATTTCGTCAGGAATTGGCTTGGTTCTTGAGGATACCACCCCTTGTTGATGTTTATCTTACAATACTGCCCATATACACTATCTGTTTCGATAATCTTCGATAGATTCATCTGCTGGTCCTGAAAAAAGATACAGCATTAATTACAGAAAGCACAAGAACCCATAACAGTACAATATCTGTATTGCAGATTATTTTATTTTATCCTGTTCTGTAAACGTCTTTCATTTTTTTTTTATATATCGAAGCAGCCGCGCAGGCAGAAGTCTATATGCCGGAACACCGCGGCTGCTATGATGATCCCAAAGAAATTTTGTTAATACGATTTTTGAACTGCCTAAGGTTAGTAAAACTGGGAAAAGCCTCCTCTTGTAGATTGTTCCACAATCTCGACACCCTCGGGACAAAGGAGCGGTCGTAGCGGCCAGTTCTGGATGTACGAAGTTCGACACGGTTAGGATGGGACGCCAAAGGCGGGTATGTCTGGCAGGCACATCGCGCGGCGGCATCATGGAAGAGAGTTCTGAGGAGCAAATTCCGTTGGTGTAGCGGTGGAAAAGAGCTAGATCGCCGACAGACCGCCGGTGCGAAAAAGTCCCGAGACTGTCTGTTAGAGAAGAGTCATCGATCAGTCGGACCGCCCTCCTCTGGACAGCATCGAGCATGGGGCGGCAGCACCCCAAACGTGTGAGCAATGCTAGACCTCATCTGGGCCTTGTATAGAGTGAGAAGGTCGTGCGGAGAAAAGTACTTCTCAGCCTTACACAAGTAGCCTAGCTTTTTCTCAGCAGCTGCAGCTATTGACGAGATGTGTTCGTGCCAGATCAGGTCCTCGGTTATCTGGACTCCGACCAGCCTAAATGAATGGCTCTTTAGCAGAAGTACTGTGTTTTGGAAGCATTGAACTGTACAAGATTTTTGCGTTCCCAAGCAGTGATAGCCTCCAGGTCTCTTGTCAGAGAGGAAGTCGTCGCTAGTCTTCTTTTTTCCAGCTCAGCGGCAGAGATCTACTTGTCACTGTGAATTCCTGCATGTAGAGTGGTGTCATCAGCGAAGCTGTGTATTGGGTTGATCGTGCAGGAAAGGAGGTCGTTGATATGTAAGAGAAACTGTCGGAGTCAAGGCCGATCGCTGGGGAACACCCGCGTTGACGTTGTGGAATGAAGAGGAGAATCCGTCAATTACGACGGATATCTTGCGGCCAGAGATAAAGTCAGCCACCCATCTGCAAAGCTTTTCTGAGAGGCCATAGGATGGAAGTTTACTTAGGAGGGCAGCGTGCCACAGCTGATCGAACGCTTTCGTGATGTCAAGAGCAAGGACATGATCCTCACCATTAGACTGGATGAGTTTAGTGGATCCTTGGTGCCGGAAACCAGACTGCCTGTCGCTAATCAAGCTGTGACGTTCGAGGTAGTCCAGAAGCTCGCGATGTATGCACCTCTCCATCACCTTACTTATAACAGAAATACAAGAATTAAACTACAAGATTAAAAGAATGATGCTCTCCAACGATAACCTAAATGTTTCTAGATTAGATGACCAAAAAAGGATTTACTAAGAAAATTGAGAGTTTTTAAAAAAATAAGTATCAGAAAGGACACAAACGGTCAACTGCTAGCCAAACAAGCTATGGTCAGTCAACTCCAGATGCAACAACTAGTAGTGAAGTCAGTCAAGTAAACCGTGACTTCATCATCAAGCTGGTACGGTCCTAGTTTGAGACATGTGTTCAAAAGTTTGCCACAAATCACACTTTCGAGGATCGTAATCTAAGAAGGCCATCTTCAGGTGCCACTAGCGAAGCAACTAAGAAGTATTCTGAAGTAACCGCACCAAACCCAGAAACTCAGCCAATAAATGTACGAAAGCAACCGCCCCACAAGGAAGTAAGGTCCAGCAGATGTTAAATCCAAATCCTAAACAACTCCAGGAAACAGTGAGGCACAATAGTTCACGGAATCCACCCTCCATAAATCGTGAAAACAGCAGCAACTTACAAACACTAGTTAAGAAGCAGCGTGAAGTGATGGGAGCAGTAATAAAGAAGTCACGAAAGTGATTATGTTGAGGTCAAGAGAAGAAGACGCCGGCAGCCAAGAATTGGAATCGCCACAGACGCTCCAGACTCCAACTTTCAAGGTAGTGCAGAAATAAGAGAGAAAAAGATTTGGGTTTTTCTTAAAAAGTTAAGGACTGTACTACAGACCAGGATATTATCGACTACTTAGCTTAAAACTTGAATGCTGATAAAAGTCAGGTTTATGTAAGAAAAGTACAAACATTTTACCACACATATTCCTGTGGCTATGCTTTGCAAAAATAACCTTACTTTTTCCGCAAGCCATTTTCGTTGTGCATCATAAACATTTCATTTTGGTTGAATAAAGTCACTATTATGTTATGCCTTTTGTTCAGAGTTGTGAAGTATAAAAATGTAAGTACCCAAAGCTGTAATGTATTTGTAAATGGTATAAGACAAACTCCAAATCAAAACTGTTTCTTGTTTAAGGTGATCCAAAGTGATCCCAGTCAGCAGTCAGGCTTCTGCAGATGCTGAGGAAGATCAAAGATACAGCGGTTACTCATTTGAGGAGTGTAATATTTGAAGATCATATCTGTTAGAATCTCCACATCACTCTTTGAACAGTGGAGCGCCACGAAAAGTTCAACAGCTGCCATTGTCAACCCCTGAGGTCCTGAATATTATCAGAAGCTCAGAGATTACTTCTGATCTAACCAAAAGGCATAGCTCTGAAGGATATTTGCAGAACATAACATTTGTAAGTTTTTATATGACTCAATAACTAGTGATGATTTGTACTGCTTTTTGTCCAAGTTAGTTTTCATACGTTTTAAATCAGCTATTGTCAGAGCCGTAGGGTTGATACGTAAAGCTCACTATAATTTTAATGAAATCAAAGCCAAGTATTGTTATTGAACAATAAAATGGGTGCCCCCAGGGGGGCTGTAGTAACAGTTATCTCTGGATCATGATCAGCACATCTGAGAAAAATTCCTGTGGGTACCCTTAGACAATCATATTATTGCTCTAATAAAAAATAAATCTGTTAATTGTAGTAACATATCAACACAATTAATTTTTTTTTCTAATTTTTGATTTATGCACCAACAAAGGCTGGGGAATGAAAACATCTGGACCATAATATGTTAATACTGATTTGTTTGTAGAAAAATGTATGAGATTTACATAATAAATATATATTTAGGTATTTGCAGCATATGTTTTTCTTCTGAAAGTTTTCAGATTAGTAAGTAGATATGAGTGATCTTATAACAGTTAGCGCAAAATGTTAATAACACATGCTGTTATAAGGTCTCCCATATCCCACTAAACTTATATATACAGGGTGACTTTTAAGTTGAGTAATTAATTTTCAGATAATGATTGTAGAAGGAAGATAAACCAAAATATGTGTGTAAAAATAAAAAAAAAATGTTACCTTGTTTTATAAAGTATCTCCCGACAAGTATTTCAGTGCGGACCTGTATTTGATCGTGCGGTCTTGGAGCACCGGCATCCCCTGTGAGGTCTTAAGTCACCTGATTCACGAGCCCTTTGTACTACATTAACAAAGGCACGAGGGGTTGGTTGCACTCGATTGGGAAACCGATTTTGTAAAGACCCCCCCCCCCCGTAAATAAGAATCATGTCCACAAGTTCAGCATTTTCGTAAACATGTGCCATTTTTTATTTCGTTTGAGCTACGCAACAAACACCACTATTCACTCACACGCTACCGACTGAATCCAACTAAAAACATCGTGATAAGCGTTTCAAATTCTTTCGCTTTTTTGTTTCCGATGCGATGAACCGATGCGGATTATATCCGTTGTCGTCAAACACGAGCACATAATATTATTATTGAGACAGGGCGGTACTCAAACTTTTAAAGGGCTATTACTTTGTTACTTTAATTTTACCAGAAAAATGTTAAAGGAAAAAAACATTTCTTTTGATCAGATCTACTCACTGTTAAAATAAATGACTCAACTTCGAAGTCACCCTGTATAAAAGTATAGCAATCTCAGATTTATTTATAGAGCTGGCAACGTGGCGGGGTATTAGTGCACAATCTGGCAACGGTGTCACACCCTCAAAAAATGGCCTCTGACAACCACACAAGTCACCGTATTGCCATTGAATAGCATGGAATTAAACCTTCTTCAGTATATACATATGTTTTGTGGTCAAAAGTCAAAGGTTAGACGTGCCTCGTACAAGTTTGTTTATTTTCTAACAAGTAAATTGTTGTAAAAGTGCGTTTGAAAATAAAAATAAGGAAGTCATATAAATTTAAATCGCCCAAAGTTGAAGTATAGATAAAGGTAAAGTCAAAGAAGCACCAGAAGTAACTTAAATCTGGCTAGTTTCTAACCTCAAAATGCCAAAAGCGATCAACTGCTTTATGTGCCAAATTCCATGTTTTTTTAAAGAAGAAAAGGAAAAAAGCTTCGGTTATCCATGTGGTATTTGCTGGCGTGTCATATGTGAAAAATGCAGTAGAGCAAGAGTGTTCCCAGAACAACCGAAAAATTATGTTTATAATCAAATGAAAGCGGTATTTACCATTTTGGATTGGTATTTACCGATCCGTTCAAGCGAGCGAGGTTATCAGTTTGGTTATAAGATCCGTGACGTCATGAATCAGCTGTTATATGTCATAGTTATCACCGCAAAATTGTGGTGTTTACCCAACTCAGGAGTAGTTTTATATTTCTGGTTATTATTTGAAATGTGACAAGTTAGAATTTTGCCGGGTATTGGATATTTTTATTGTACTTCAGCTTCATTTTTGGGAAACTTAATACAGGCTGACTTCAGTTTTAGTATAAAGTAGAGCACCTTATTAGTTATAATCATTACTGTTGTTGGGGATATTTTAAATCTAGTTCCTATGCTTAACAAAGTATCCTGTGTAGCCTTATACCACAAGAACTTTAAAATATATATATAATGATATATAAACTCACTGGATGATGTCCACCTGTATGCGGTTCTGCGAATATCTTTTTTCATCGCTTTTTCCTACCATTGCTGCTAAATCGATAAATGTTTTCTTTGACATGCGGAAAAGTTTAGAGAGTTGAAAGTTATCA